TTGCAGAAATTTGACAAATTGCGGTAACCTGACGTGCTGCTGTGTGTACATTATAATTAGCATCAAATAATTATTTATAAATATCTGTTTTTAAATATTTATATGTGATAACTTCAGGAAGAAACTTTTGATTCTTATTTTTAAAGATCTTTGAAAATCCACGTTTCGTAAAAGTGAATATACTCACATAGAACCTCCCATTCAAACATGTTAATACTAAATATAGACAACAACAGACTGACAAGTATGGATGATTTGAACACGTAGCCGAAATTCGACTACGAAACAAAGATATACCTAGTTTGAAAGCATTTTCGTGTACCCGATTTTCTGTTCGGATATATGTACACTTATGCATCTAGCACGATTCACGATTTTTCTACTCTCTACAGATTCTCTTGTATTCTTTGTTTAATATAACTGTAACAATGACTTTCATCACTGCAAGTATAATTAAAAACATTGTTTTTTTTTTAATTAGCGACTTTATCTCTTATGATTTTTAAATTATTCACGAATTTGCCATTGAAGTCGAGTGGTTATCATAATTTACTAAATAGTAGTTCCTTGAAGAATTAAACAGCTTTAAAATTTGCAGTTCTATTTTTTAATAACATCGCCAAGGACGTCTAGCGCGCAGACTGAAGGTTCCGAGCAATTTTAATTAAAAAATCAGCATTACTATAACATTTTCCATTTTAATGTTTGAAATATTTGTTAGAAATTATTTAAAATTTCTTACAAATATTTCGTTAATATTTACGTTCACTAGCGGCGAAAGTATTAAGTACACAGTTTTGATGATTAACGGTTTTCTCCAATAGTTCTCTTGGAAGTGCATTCGTCTGTTTGGCGCGAAAGGTAGCGGGTTTGAGTTCAGGGTAGAAGCTGAGACGGCTTGTATCAAGCATTTAGATTTTATTGTGGATAAAAATTTATTAAAATTTAAAATTACTGTAATAACTGTAGAAAATAAATTATTTAGTGAAGTATCAAAATATGATCCGACTCGTATTGAACCATAATGAGATTCAATATTAATATGAAATTATTCGAAACTAAATATATTACAGTATTTTGTTATGTATGTATTGAATTTAATATATAACATCACTTATTATGTTTTGAGTTGTGAAATCGAAAATAATGAGTAGTCAATTATTGTCAGAAATAAAAAAAAAGAGAGAAAAACTTATTAAATTTAATATTATCTATCTTTGTAAATTATAATGCTAATGCATATTTTAAACTAAACAAAATCGGAACGGAAATACACATTTCAATGTAAAATAGTACCTGTGTGCACGTTTCTATTTTAGAAAATTATTATTTAAACGCCATCTATTGGTGTTTAAAAATCATAATAGGATGCTTTTTAGTTCACTAAAAACTACCTGAGATTAATATATTTATTGTCATAGTTTCGGGCAGAAACTAATTTATAATCACCGAATATATAATTTAACCCGAAGAAGGATCAGATTATCCCTAGAAATAATGATATAGACTAACAAACTGCTTTTTCAGCTAGTTATTGATCTTGAGTGACATGAAGTGATTAATCAGTATGTCTCGGAGACGTCAAGTTTTTCTACTATACTCAAAGTTGCAACAACGTAATAGTAAACTACTTATAAATAAGTTATTAAGTCGGTAGCCATCCAGACATGCTTTTAAAATAGAAAGTGACAATATAGAGGGGTCTTTGTGATCACAAAACGTGCCGTCATAAAAAATTCAAAGGAATTTGACGCAATGTTTAACTTGTGACTTTGTTTTAACGATGTTTTACGTTGAACCAGTTGAAAGTGTTTCGAATTCTTTGTTTTGTTACATTACTTTGTAAGGGGTTTAAGTACGGGTGAAATTTTCGTGTGCATATAGGCAGTAACAATGATTTAATAAATTTAAATAAGTTCATATTTTGACGAGTGATAGAAACCAAAACTTTAGTATTAATTATTGGAAATTTAAAGTTAGTCTGACTTTAATTTATAAAATGTAGGGACAATCGTGGTTATTCTGTTGTCCAAGCTCAACTGAATAATAAAGACAACAGAAATAAACTTATTGTATTGAGTATAATTATATTATTACATGTGACCAATGTTAGGATAATTCTTTAAAAAAAATTCAAATGTATCTTATGTTGAATAGACAAAGGTTAACTTTTAAGTGCAGACATCGTAATCGAAGACACTCAAAAGTATATTTATAATAAGTTTAATAAGATTATACATTCCAATAACACAGGCCATAATCATTATTATGAGACCATTATACCATGGGCGACTGGACCATAACTAAGTATGCGAATTGGTGACATATAATATTAAATAAAAAAGGATAAATAAAGAAATGTAAATTTCTAATCAGGTTAGGAAGTAGATAAGGAAGGAGTTTGCTGAATTAGAATAATAATAGAAGAATATAACACGTAAATAAGTTTTTGGTGTTATCAGGACTCGAATGGTATAACAAAAACATTTCTGCCACTTAGTGGCTTATTCTGCAGGCCGATAATTATTTTGAACACGCAACAGTGGTACAATACAAACACACCTGGTTGACTGCATAGATTCTGTTTTGCAAAGTTAAGTTGAAAACCATGTGGAGTTGTTTTAAAAGCTTTTTATTAAAACTTTTACTAACGACTCCTGCATAGTTTCAGACTGCACTAGAGATAATTTTGGAAAAGAACTAATTGCTATGCTATTCTGCTGTAAAATCAACCTCGTACTCGACGTCGAGCAGAGCGTTGTCACTGCATAGAGATTCAATAAAAAAATAAAACCCTTATTATCATTTGAAGGAGGTTTTGTTTGATTGAACCTCTATGCTGTGATAAATTGATTACCTTTAGAAGGTGGTCTATTTCATTGAATCTTCATGCTGTGACAACGGTGTGTACGACGCTGAATTATTACAGTATAGCATAGAAGGTATAGGTTAGTACAAGTGTATTTGCAATTATATCGTTCATTTCACTGATTCTTGAGGTCTCACAGACAAGATACTTTCTATGTATTTTTGGATGAATTAGCTAAAAGGCGACATTTGCCTTTGCAGTTCCAATTTTAAATATTCGTTTTTGAATAAAATTGAAGCAACGCCGTGTAGAGATGCTGTCTGCATGTTACGAAGTTGACCACTGCATGTTGAAATGGTTTTGCTCGACGAGCGGAAATATTGTTTATCAACAGTTGCTCAGCAAATGTTTACCATGAATACAAGGCTTTAGTTTAAAAATTTGGCGAGTACGATTCGTATTATCATTTTTTTTTTAATTTTCCTGACACCTTTAATCTAAAAAGCGTTTTTTATTTGGTATCTATGTAATGTTGTCTAATATTTATATGTTCATAGATTTTTTTGGGTATTTTACATTGACTATGTGACATTCTCGCTCGTAGCAGAAAATAACATGGCTTGAAATATTTGCCAGTCTCGTTTGCTTTCTGGTAGCTTCTTAGTTGGATGAGGACTCATCCGGATAGCGAGAGGCCAATGGTTTTGAATCTGGTCTGATACCAAGACGAATAGACTATTTTACAGGCCTAAAAGACTATTCATAGGCTTTAGAGCGCTTTTAACATAAATATGTGCATAAGTGTGTCCACTGTGAAGTAAGGTGGGACGTTGACTTGAAGTTTAATATAAATATTGGCTATAAAAAAAACTTTTATCTAGTAATTAGCCAGAATTTTAGTAAGTTAATATTGTAACAAGGAGGTATAAAAGTATTTAAAATTCATATAATTGATGGAGCATTTTTATTTTTCTTAGGGCACTGGCTACTGGCTACTACCATACAGGTTATACCTAGCACAGAGGTCAGAGACTTTACATTGTCTTGAATATTTATATGGCAATAAAGTTATTATATTTAGATTTACTTTGCCTACCTCTAAATTTTGGTTGGATATATGAATGTGTTACGAAACACATTGCATTTTTACACATTGAAATTGAATTGGAAGCTTTATGAATTATAAATATATATAAAAATGATAATGTTCAAATATCACAAAGGACTGAAAAATTAAACTTTGTTAGATTTATAGCTTCGAATGAATAACAAAGCGACGAATTTTGTAATGTTATTTTGTAATTAACGTTTTAATTATGAATGACTTAGTGATTTTTAATATTTATAATACGATATTATTCTTATCACTTTATTCAAAAAAATTGGTATATTTTGGTATGATAAAAACATAAATAAATTATTCATCCATCCATCGTCCTAACGTTTTAAAAATATATATTTTTTGTTGGTAATTGGCTAAATTATTTGAAGTAGTAATTTATGAATAAGCAGGTTTTCTTGTGGAATTTGTCATAAGTATTTTGAATATTAAAAGTTACATTTCTTTATGCGTTCGTTACCGTATTTTCTAAGAATATAATTACATACACTAACAGAATGTATGAAAATCGGAATACATTTTTTTCGATTAATTAAAAAAAAAATTTAATTCAATATAAATCATATCGGCGTTATTTATCATAAAAAAAAGTTCAATATGCTATCGGTAATGTAATTGACGTCTGATGCCATTAGAGAAGATCCAGAAAAGGTTGTTGAGTAATGGATATTTTCGGTGCACCGTGTCTTTTTATTCGTGTAATGCGATATCGCATCGAAATTTGAAACGTAATGAGGGTAACGTATAGTGCGCGCGCGCCTCACACGATCGTCGGTCACTAAGGCAGCGTATCGAATGCGCTACACGGACCAACTCGAAAAGAAAGGACAGTACAGTTGTTAAATAATGATAGTTGCACGTTACCAAGTGAAATGTCCGTAGGGATGGAGTGTTCGAACGAGATGAGCACTTTGGTATTTAAGAGCGGGTCGCGTGGCGAATGTCATCAGTTAACACAAACCCACAGTGATAAGAACATCTCCAGATATTTGGAGCTGTTCTACTGGGTCATATATAAACGTTCCCGCTAAGTTTTCGTACACAGTAGGGACTGCTACCTCCATACACAATATGCGCGCATTCGTGGTAAGTTGACAGCGTTGTATTGTTTAGATATTAATTTATTTTCAAATTGTAACAGTTTGGATTTACGAATTTAAAGGATCAAAGATTAAGTGAAGTGCTGTAATTTAAAATTACTAAAATATAGAGGGATAGGTCAATTTTATATGTGTTTTTGGATTTTGTGCCGAGTGACAGTGGACCAATTTCTAGTGATATTAATATCAAGTGATCAGCAAAAGTGAGTGTCATAGTTAATTTGAAGAAAAATAGATCGATTATATTTTTCTTACAAGCTCAACTATTATCACTCATGCAGTGTTTTAACGAGCATGATAATTTATTATGTGATCAGCATAAACCTATATTAATTTTTCATATTTTTTGATATTGAACATAATACTTAATTTTAAATAGTAAACTATAAGTTGAGAAGAATATTTATTTTCACATATAAATCAAAATACATTTTTTAGATATGTACAAAACAATTATATGTTAATATAAAGGCAAAATCTTTATATTTGAACAATAGAATTAATTATAAAAGTAAACAGTTTTACTAAAAAAAAGTGCACCGTTATTGACTTTACATTTGCCTACTTAATAATATGCGCACATTGCGCTACAAATGTAAATCTTATGTTAAAAGTATAACTCGATTATGTGAATCACGAGTTGTTAACTTGCAACTCAATCTATCGTAATTCAATGCGAGTGCACTATTTCACTGACTCGCTTTTCAAACACGCCGTCGATATTACTATAAATTTTGTCGTCCGAGCATTGGTATATGTTCAACATAGGTATTGAAATTCTAATCTCCTTTGTTGTATAACTTTAATCAATTTACCTTAATAACTTCAATACTGACCTGTGTTACGTCATAAGAGGTTGTACAGATATAATCTCATTCCAGCCTTTCGTTTTAATGTTGACTGTATTATTGTTGCAAAATTTTACGGACTATAAAATATATTTGTATGAATATTATGATATGCTTAGCGAATATAATGCTGTGCCACTTTTTGCTCATTTGGCTACGCTCACTTTTAATAACTATGTAACATATTTTGCAGATTTAAATATCTTTCACTTACTTTTGTTTTTAATGCGGTTAGTTAACGCGGTTTCGTCACATCACGTAACCGACCGCAACTGTTTGCTTAACTGTATTACTTACACTATGAAAGCTTCTAAGGACTAAATGTGATTATTTACCATCAATTTGTCCTTAATAGATAGCTATTAAAAGCAATTAAACTTTAGCTATCGTGATTTCGTACGTAGGGACTTTATACATATATACTATAGCAATTTCTGTTCAATAGTGCAGGTGAAAAAATTTATGTGTTCGAGCTGTATATTAATAGAATCGTAATCAAAGACTCGAATCGAACATGTCACTGGCACTCATCCCTTTAGAAAAACAGTATCTCATATGAGTTTTCTATTTTTTCAGGTACTCGCCTGCGTGGCGTTGGCATATGGCCGCCCTGAGCCCCCAGTTGGCTACAGCTATTCAGCTCCCAGCTCTAAATACTCCGCTCCATCTGGCAGCTATGGGGCACCATCTATTGGTGGTCACAGGACTGTCTCAGTAGGAGGACACTCTGGAGGCATTTCGTTTGGTCACTCCGGTTTATCCGGCTTGTCCCTTGGCGGTGGCCACTCGGCTGGTGGTCTTGCTCTTGGAGGTGGACATTCATCAGGTGGACTTTCCCTTGGAGGCGGACACTCTGCTGGTGGAATCTCTCTTGGAGGCGGACACTCTTCCGGTGGATTTGCGTTGGGAGGTGGAGCCGGCAGCAGCGGCCTAGGCTTTGGTGGTGATTCAGGATTCGGCGGTGGATATGCCGGTGGCTATTCTGGCGCTCCTCTCGTACAGAAGCACATCTACGTCCACGTACCTCCACCAGAACCCGTTGAACAGAGAATTCCTCGTATTCCCGCTGTAGCTCCTCCCCAGAAACACTATAAGATCATCTTCATCAAGGCCCCGACTCCTCCTACCCCAGTAGCTCCCATCATCCCAGTCCAGCCCCAGAACGAAGAGAAAACCCTCGTTTACGTGCTTGTCAAGAAACCCGAAGACCAACCAGACATTATCATCCCAACTCCTGCGCCAACTCAACCCTCGAAACCCGAAGTATACTTCATCAAATACCAGACACAGAAGGAATCTGGTGGTGCCATCGGAGGAGGCGCTATTGGTGGTGGTGCTATCGGCGGTGGTGCTATCGGCGGTGGTGACATTGGAGGTGGCTCCATTGGAGGTGGTGATTTGGGCGGCATCGCTTTGGCTGGCGGAGTTGGCGGCGCTGGTGGTGCTGGCGGTCATGGTGGTGATGATATCGGTGCTGACTTCGGAGCTAGCGGTGGTGACATCAGTGGTGGTATCAGTGGTGGAGTCAGTGGTGGTGATGCTGGACACGGAGGTGCTACCAGCTCTCAGTACGGTCCTCCCGGTCACGTTGCGGGTCCCCTTCACTAAGCTAAAGACACCTTAGCAAGCTAGATGGGAAGAAATGTGTAATTTATTGCTGTGCGTGCAGAATTTATCAGTATTTGCAAACCGTTTTATGAATTACCATAAAAACAGAGGTCATTCTGACCATCTACGCTCGCAGTGTGCACGCAGGCACATTGTAAATAGTCACCTGTCTCGTGTCTGCTTGCACACACCCTTTCTCATCGTTCTCATCTTTCATCTCTACTTGTTATTAGTGCACAAGTGTTAGTGTTATCTTAAAGGAGGTAATTTACAGCGACTGTTACGTTATGTATTATATAATATTGCTTTTTTATATTAAAATAAAATAATAATAATAAATAAATATGTGATGCCGATTTGTTGTTTTGCTGTACATTTGTTATGGAACGGGTTGTTCAGAATCGATGAATTGCGTCATGCCCGAAAGTGGTCGTGAAAGGTTGCCCTGTCATGAGCGAGGGTGGTGGCAGTTTCCTTTCTCGTATCGGTACGTTCGATTAGGTTCAACGTTAAATTGGAATTGTTAACAATCGTACTGGATATATGGTTGTTGCGTAAAAGACTGTAATGGCATGTCGGGGGCGAGTGGTGAGCCGGTTTTCGACCGCTTGCGCTCTCGTTGATGTTCCTTTTAATGGACCATAAGTGTAATTACACTTTCATAATAATTTAGTGGATAACGGAGCGATTGCGTAAAGCGATCGGCTTCATGTGTCTGCAGCTAAATAATTTAGCTTTGATAATTATAGAGTACATCATTGGTATATTGTTAACGAATATAAAAAATTGAACATTCGAATACTGACAAAGCACCGACCTCTTTAATAATACGAGTATATTGAGACATATGACTCAGTATTTTGTAATTACTAGAGGGTTTTTTTATGATAGGTTAGGTAAACCAATCAACTAATGATTCAAGTGAAAATGTATGATAATCAAGAATATTGTCACAATACGCCTCTGATATAGATAAAGAACGATTATTGGTGTTGGTAATGTTTGAAGTGGTCTATATTTCAATTTAATAGAAAGTCATTTTTCAAAGCATGTAGCAGACAGTTGAAGATAAATTAATATCTGAAACAGTAGACAAAGATAAAAATGCTTATCAACAAAAAATATATCATTAGATATAAGAGAATCGAAACAATGACTTTTACAATGAATTAATGTGAAATAAACCAATTATAAAAAAAAAACATCTCTCGTCTTGTCGATCTATATTAATATTACAATGAGGAAAGATTTAATTGTTTATTTACATTGAATAGGCTCTAAATTATCAGTAATTTACGACCAGTACGACCCAATTTTGAAAATACGAGTATCACTGCATTGCAATTATTATCATTTTCCCACACTTACTACGTTTTATTAAATTATTTTCAAACAATTAACGAAGTAAGATGATTCTATTTGTATGCAAAAGGATAAAAAATATTTATTGCTTAACGAGTAACTATAGACTAATTATGATTTAAACATGTACTTGTTATAATGATAGACAATTCGTATTGTCTTGACTAATGGAAATGTCTTGTTAGTAATGCTAGCTGGATTAATTAACTTAAAAGAAAGATGGGTTGGGCTCCCATTTCGCCTTAATATAGGTACGTATCTGGGTTGATGAGAAGTGACTTCTGTGACTTTGTGAAGATTTCACTGTGATTAAAGCGATTTGAGTAATCGATTTGTGATTATAAAAGTCCAATTCATTTATCATAGAGTCATAAATATTAAGTTTGAGGGATTGATGTAATCGATAGCTAGAGCGTGGACTGTACGTTTATTTTAATTAAAAAGATAAATTCTTACGAAAAAAATGATTTTAAAAATAAGTAGAAAGGCAGAAGATGTACAGTAATATCTATATAAAAACACTAATTTAAATAGGTAGCTCGATAGCGCAATGGTTAGCTCGAAAGCGCAGTATTCTATTTGATATATGAAAAGCATTGTAGACTGTTATCAATTAATACCTTCATTATTGAGGCACAAGTTTATGATAAGAATCCCAAGTAATAATGACCCAACCATCACATAGGCCCAAAGAGATAATTATAAAATCACGTGTCTCTATAATATAATTAGAAATATAATATATTTCAATAAAGGTCTTCAAAAGCCATATAAAAAGGCAACCATCAAGTTGCTAGGTAGTGGTCCGAGTCTCACATAACCTTGTCGGTCGCCAGGTGGCAGGGTAAGCTTAAAGCATTTTCCCAAAAAAAAAAGTGGTGGTCTGCGCGTTTCATTCATACTTACAGTCCGCCAACGGCGAGGCGAATCGTCGCCGAAAGCATCTATCAATAGTTTCTGTGGTTCACGCGCTGAGAGCTAGTTCAAATTTCGAAACAGTGCCGAGTTTGTGAGTTTTATAAATATGCTATTACTTTAAACATTTAAGCTGTGTACCTGAACGTAATGCTCTAAAATACGGCTGTACGATAATCAGTCAGTTGGTTATCTATCAACGAGCACAGGACATAATATCCATTATATTCTTACTAACTAACAGTTTAATATCCATGATAATAAAATAAATTCAATTGACATGTTTGTAATTTTTTTTATTAGTAATTATCACTTTTGATAATACTGATAATTTATTTTGTCTTCATTTACAGTAAAAACAACGCAATATAGTCAAAAACACATACTTATCGCTAATTGATGCCAATCTCTAGACAAATTGAAACTGGTAGCGGAGTAAATTTTATTTCGGAATCTAAATTAGTCATCCTGGAATGTTTTAAATGTCATAATGATATTCCCACAAAACTAGTCATGTAATTGTATGCATCAATCGATGGCTAGCCGTCCATTGGAACATGTAGCCTTTTAACGCTTAACGATGAACCAACGTACAGGTCAAACTACCAGGCAGATCTAGATGGAACCAATAGTTATTGACTTCTTATATTTTCACATGCAATATCCATAAATGCAAACAACAAAATATTTGTTGAAACTAATAATTTGTTGGTGTTCAATTAATAGCTTAGTCTTACGTGAACACGAAACCTCCAAAACGTCAATAAAACTAAATATAAACGCGATAAAAACGTTTCAAAGCTGTTTCATTTACCAATAGTTATTTAGATGCAGAGGTTCGTTGAAAAGGATTTAGAGAAATCAATCCTTAGGGATTTGCAAATCGTGTAAGCCATGTGAGTGGTATCGTGGACAAAAATCTAATAAAGAAATACATACACATATATTTTGGGCATTCGTGAAAAAAATGAGTAAACCTATTGACAAAATGTCATCCGATAATGTCGATTTATTTTTGAAGTAGGCCCGCAGGTTAAGGTTGCTAGTTGTTTATTTAAATAATGACAAGTTATTATATTACCCATTCTTTCATGTTACATTGATTTAATTACAGGGAAAAGTAACATTCAACAAGTTATATAAATGCTTATTTCGATCTATATTTTCGTCCTAACACAACCGAGACCGGAAATTACGTAATAAATATATACGCTGGCGCGCAATTCGGAATTCGTAAAGTTAACACATATCGTACCGAAGAACTTTTACTTTGGATTGTATCGTGCTTAGTCGAAATGATTGTTCTTGATAATTACACGAGTTCCTTTCGAGACCGCCGGACGGGTGTTAGTCCTTTTTTTTTTTGATAAATTTTTTTATTGCTCTTCTGAACTTGTTTTATATTATGCGCCGTCTCATCAAGACTGCTTGATACATATCGTGGTTCTACTGTAGTATTCTTTCCCGTGTTTTCTCTAGAATTTGTGTAAAATGTCAAATAACATCCCAACGCACTGTGTGACTTGCTGCTGTGATGTGCCAATACAGCTGAGTATATCCTAATGCCCGATTTGCATTTCAATAAGTACAGTGGAGAGCTATTTCTTATTGCCGTTTCAATCACTAAATTTCCCTCTAGTGTATCTATATATATTTCAACACCAACCCTTTCGTCTCCGCTGTAGGGACTCGGACCTTTCTTGTTGATGGTTAAGGAGGATGGCTCATGACGCTCCACGCTGGACCAATGCTGATTGGAGGGTATAATTGACTGCAAATGCATTCCGAACCAACGGCTTCGAGATAATAATTTTCTGGGTTGTCATCCCGTGACCAACCTTTGCGAAAGTTGCTTAACAACAACGATCGCAGGTCGCGCATTTACACTACGCTACCAAGCTACTCATATATATTTATATAAAGTTAAATCGGGGTTATTAAGAGTGAAAACACACTGCTCTGTTGCGTTGCGTTGCGACGTCGCAGCGCTATCAGACCCACTGAAGCTGTTGAAACAAAGCGATGCACACTTAGTTCATTCTAAGAGACGTAAAGCATCTGATACAAATGTATTCGTATGAGCTTGTCTATATGGCACGGTGCTTGTTGTTTGTTATCTTAAATAGACATGTCAAGAATGGACCTACGGTAGGCTTCTGTAACGCAACGCACACCCGGCTGATTTAAATACCATGGGAATCCTAATGATGGACATATTGCTGTCCATTAGAGTGCAAAAAGAAAATACACAAAATAATTGCCCTGCGGTTCCGGAATTCAATGAGTATACTCCTTCCAATCCATCTCAATAACTCGAGGGTATGTCACGGAGCGTACTCTACATTTTTATGCTTAAGAAGACACAGCTACGCGTTTTGTCGATGCAACGCTGTCGCAACTTGCCATGTTAACATACTCTAAAATGAAGCTCTCGAGTCATCGCGCGAGAGCAAGAAATTCTTTATTACAATCGTACGAGAAGTTTGACAGTGTAAGATTAAATCCGTACTTTAATTAGAGCACTAAAGCGATTTGTGTCTTTATTTCGTCGCACGATAAAACCACCCAACTGCGAATCGGTGAGATATAGTAGGTATCTTAGTAATAATTGATATTAACTCAAGCGTACTATTCTATTTACAGACTAAGAAATTATAATTAATAAACTTAAAATTGAAATCATGGGGAAACTCCAAAAAACCGACGGATTTCATAAGTATTTTCTTGAATTTGATAATTTGCTAATCTAATTAGGTATTTGTATCTCGACTTTATAGTTTGCCAAATGTTGTTTTAAATTAAAAGTTCACTTAGAAATATCTATCGAAAGGTTTTAATCTCAACTCGTTTGCCAACGATTCAACCTATGGTGTTACGGTAGAGTTGTTATTCCTCCTTCCGAATTCACAAGATAGAATCTTCATTGGCTGAAGGCCAAAAAAGTTAGTTCTATGTTACATCGTAGGCCGTATTCGGGTGACTCGTTCGATACAAATGAATTCATGTTTGGTAATGTTATTTATTTTTGTGTATTCACCTTGATAAACTGTGGCTTCGAAACGTCAATATACATACAAATAAATACGTTGCTTCATATAGAATGTACTGAGCTTTATATATAACAGTTCCTACGTTTGGGAGAATTTTAGAGACTTT